CCATTTTTGTTGTTATTACTAGTTCTTTCATTTCAACTTCTGTTTTATTTGCATCCACCTCTTTTAACCAAGCCGCATCCTTGTTGTATTTCTTTGGGTTATCCCATATCTGCTTCCAGAACTGCACTGTTTCTTCCTTGTCAGGTACTGACTGATTCCTTGCAGTTTCTCCATTGATGGATTGGTAGAAACGTTTCTGATTGGATTGAAATTGGAGGTTCTGCCTATAGTTTGCAATTCGAGCTTCATATCTACTGATTTTCCTGGCTATAGCTGTTATTTGTTGCTTTATTATTTCCAGTGTTTCCTTGATCTTCCTTGTTTCTAAGTGGTATTTCTTGATTAGGTATTCTTTGGCCTTCTTGTTCTTCAGCTTCTTTTCTTTCATCTGTTCTAGCTTGCTTGCATGTGATCTTAACTTGCTGATCTTATTTTCTAGTCTAACCTTCCATTTTTCTGGTGCACTGTTTGTTTGTTTTTCTTCTTTGTTGATTTTGCATCCCAGGTATTCTGTTATAACTGCAGCTGTGCTGTACATTAGTTGGTTTGTTTCTTGCAGTGAATTGGTGCTTATACTTGCTATTGCAGTATTTGCATCTTTTAATGCTTGTGCTAGCTGTTTCTTTGGAACAAGCTTCAATGCAGGCAGCCTTATTCTGTTGTTTTTGTGCTGTTCTAGATGCTCAGTTATTCTTTGTTTCAATTCTTTTATTTCTTTAGTTAGAGGGTTTTGTTCTTCCTGAGGAAGAGGTGCCTGGTTTCCAAATGAGAACAGTTGTATATCTCTGCTGGATTCCTTCACTGCCAACTCCCCCTGGTTTGCCTCTACATTCTGAATTACTTCTGGTAAGGCTTTGATTTCTTTGCCCTGGGTAAACCTTTGCAGTTCGTCCAATTCTGTTTCTGTGAATACTTTATTTCGTATTATAAATCTGTGTTGATCTGCTGGTCTCTGTTCTGTTATTTCTGATTCTGGATGTTGTTCTTTCCAGAACTGGTGCATTCGTTTCAGATATCCTCTTGTTGTTGGACTTGATCTGTAGTAACAGATCATTATTTCTTTGTTTTCAATCACTGTGTATCTGCAACGGGTAGACACCTTTTCTTCTACTAGTTCTGCAGCTGCTGGCCCTGGTTGCTCAGCTAACAGTCCTGAGTCCTGTAACACATTTTTCACCAGATATCCAGGAACTCCAATATCTAGCGCGGACCTTGTTAACCCGGGCGACATCCGAGCTGGTATGGCATTCTGAAATTTACGTCTCACCATATTTTTTATGGGAGAGACACTCTCCTCTAATGAGACCTGTCCAGTATGGTATACTCTGGTATAGCTCTCATCTTCCTCAGAGTACACAAGCCCCACAACCACGTCAAGGTAGTGCCTCACTGGAGGTGGTTGTTGTTGTTGTTGTTGTTGTTGTTGTTGTTATTATTATTATTACTACTACTACTACTACTACTTATGAAAAGACAATGACAGATCCCAAACCAGCATTATTGTTTGACTTTAGGTTGCACCAAAGAAAGCAAAATTATTAGCTGTGTTCATGCAACAAGGTCATTTAAAGTTCCTAATACTTCTATTTGCACACTATATTACATTTGGTTAGTTTAAATCTTGGTTAGTTCAAGGAGGACTTAGCATGTCGACTGAACACTAACTATTTGGTTGGTTTATGATTCCATAGCTTGTGCAAACACAGAAATGTGGATTAATTCATTAAGCCAATTAAGAAAACAACATGTTGGATCTTACTTTTGACTCTCCTTCAGGAACATGGTTGGGTTTACGGGTAGTCCTCAACTTACAACCATTTAGCCACTTAGCGACGGGTTCCAAATTATGGTGTACCTCCCCATGAATACTTTCAATCCAGTACTGAAGTTCTGATGGCTGCCCCTCCCTGTGATCATGTGACCACTTTTTAGTTGCTCAGCAACCGGCCTGCATTTATAGCAGTTTGCAGTGTCCCGTAGTCATGTGACTGTGTTTGACAATGTTTTTTGCTGAAAACTGACATTTGCTTCATTTTTGGCAAAACCAGCCCACAGTAAACAACTGGTTTACTTAACAATCACAGTGCTCACTTAAGAACCAATGCCAAAAACAAAATTGGGTCCCTCACATACAGCCTGCTATCACTGCTGTCGTCAAAACTTATTATCGTAATGGGCAGACTCCATAAAGTTGTAAATTGAGGACTATTTGTACATCTTTTTGTTGTTTTATTTATTTGTTTTTATGAGGGGTATTTATATTATTTACGTTCCAGAATGTTTTCCATCACGGCATAGTCCTCAGCATCTCCTGTGTATTCATTTCCTGGAGGATTTCAGTAAGATGGACAGCTTCATATGCCTGCAGGGTACAGGCCAAATCCTGCTGGAACTGATTTTCTAGAATGACAGATGATTCAGTTAAAACAAAAAAAAAAAAACCAAAAAAACCCAGCAAACTCTCTCTCCAAACTCTCCATGGAAACGAGTGTAACAATGAAAGGGAAAATACCAAGAATGAAAGTTTCCATTTGATATCATATCATGGAGACTGGAGATCTCCCAAATGCCTCAGCTTTTGAAGTTCTACAACAGGTTGCCATCATATAAGTATTTAATTATCCCCAAGCCTAAAAACTCATTGTTTCTATTTTTAACTGCAAATAAACGCAAGATGATTCTTCCCGTGGTATGACTAACTGGGGATAGATTAACACATTTGATGATGTGCCAACAAGTCAATGATGATTCTTTGGAAGCACAAAGAGAGAATTCTTGCAAGACAGTCTGTCCCTAACTTGGCCCTTTGGGTTTGTCAACAATGATCCCATCGCCACTGTAACCAAGTGCTTCCACTTGGAAGCTGATCATTCCCTTCCTCTTTTTCCATGCATCTTTTCCGGAATTAGATCCTTCTCCAGAGAGTTGGATCTGCCCATCAGGTGTACAAAGTCAGATAATTTGAACCAGTTAAATTTGTGCTTCCAGTGAAAATAAAATTGCTCTACAATCTAAGTATTTGTTTCCTTGGCTAGTAGTCTCAGAAGCTTTCTTCAGCAACACACACACACACACACATGCATATAGGTAGTCCTTGACTTACAACCACAATTGAGCTCAAAATTTCCATTGTTAAGCAAGGTAGTTGTTAAATGAGTTGCACCATATTTTACGACCTTTTTGCCACCGTTATTAAGTGAATCACTGCAGTTCTTAAGTGAATTTTACAGCTGCTAAGCGAATCTGACTCTCCCATTGACTGCTTGTTGGAAGCCAGCTGGGAAAGTTACAAGTGGATAAATACCCTGAGACAAAATACATCATCATCATCATCATCATAGTTGAAAGGGATCTTGGAGGTCATCTAGTCCAATCCCCTGCTCAGGCAGGAAACCCTATACCATTTCAGACAAATGGCTGTCCAGTCTCTTCTTAAAAACTTCCAGTGTTGGAGCATTCACCGTTTCTGGAGGCAGGTTGTTCCACTGGTTAATTGTTTTAACTGTCAGGAAATTTCTCCTTAGTTCTAGGTTGCTTCTCTCTTTGGTTGGTTTCTATCTGTTGCTTCTTGTCCTGCCTTCAGGCGCTTTGGAGAGTAGCTTGACTCCCTCTTCTTTGTAGCAGCCCCTTTGTGGCAGCCTGCTAGTTGCCAAGTGCCCGAATTTTAACCATGTGACCATGGGGATGCTGCAATTGTTGTAAATGTGAAAGCTCTCCTAAGTAACCTTTTTAGTGCCATTGTAACTTCAAACCGTCACTAAGTGAATAGCTGTAAGTCGAGGACTGTCTGTATTATGCAAAACTAAAATAGAGCTTCATGGAGAATACTGCAATTATCTATGTGGCTACTAGGAATCCAAAACAGCTTGATGTCACAAAATGTAGCTTCTCTGCAACTTGGTCTGTTGCATGGCAGCGGTTTATATGCCATGATTTGAGGCTTAGACTGTTGCATGGATGTAGTCAATTGTGACTTCTTTAATCATTCATTTTAGTATTATTCTAAAAGACCATCCTTGGAAAAACAGTCCAGGGCCATTAATAGGCATCCCTAAGAAGCCACACTGACTTAATTTGCATAAATGACACAATGACAGTGTCACTTCTCTCCTTGTTCTCCCTCCCTCCAGATATCCAAGGTCACGCACGGTTGTCAGAAGCGGCCAGGAAAAGCTAATTACAACGTTGCATGCAAGTTATATACTTCCCCCCCCCCAAACTTTAAGCTGCAGATCATAATGGCATCATTTGCACACTGACGTTCTGGCACACATGTTTCCATTTTGACATGGTTACAGACAACTATGCCTGATGTTCAAAGGCTGACACAGATGTACACTAAATGGAAGAGAAATACGGGCTCTTCTATCTCTTTGCAAGTTGTCATTTCAGACGCGGTAAGGGTCAGGTTCCCGCAACGGAGGAATGCTTCAAAGGCAGGCAATACTGAAAGAAAGAAAAGAAAAGAAAAGAAGAGAGAGAGAGAGAGAGAGAGAGAGAGAGAGAGAGAGACGTGCATACATAGAGAACATCACAGAATTCGCGGCCAGTGCAGCAGCAGATGATGTCTGTGTTTTGCGTATAGCGATGGGCTCTGCACCGGTGGTCAAAAAAGTCAAGATGGAGGACACCCCCTTAATACATGGGGATACAAAAAAAAAAAAAAAAAAGCCAAGTCTCCACAAGGTGCAGCTGGAAAAATGGCAGTGGACGCGATCCGTCCACTGCCCCTCCTGCTCTTTTCCGCTGGGAGCCCGCAAACGTGTGAATTATCTCTCCTCGAACGCCCACTTCTCCCGCGGCAGGAGAACCCTCACGATTCTTTCTCTACGCCCCCCCCCTCGCCGCGTCCCCCACTGTCGCGTGGTGGCCCTGCCACTCAGAAACCTGCATTTCTATTGGCTGGTCGGCAGCTCGGCGTGCCGGCTTCCCCACCCCCCACCCCGTGGGTTGCGTGTCTCGGTGCACGTGTATACGCGGCAGAGCTGCGTCGAGAGCCGAGGGAGGAGGAGAAGCGAGGAGGGGGGGGGAATCGAACGGGAAGCGCTCGATTTAGCCAAGGGGCTTCTCTATTTTCGCTTAGATCTCGATCGATGGGCTCTATTTTGGTCTAGCCGGCGAAGAAGCCAATCGATCCGAGTGAGTTTTTAGACCGGTGGAAGCGCTCGGGGGAAAGGAAGAAAGAAAAAAAAAACCTCCAGGCGCGCCCCCGCGTGGGAAGGCACCCCCCCCCCTCTCTCTCTCTGCCCGGCGAGCGAAGGAAAGCCCCGCAGCCTCCTCACCAGAGGGCAGGGCAGGGCGCGCAGGCGGCGGCGGGCCTCCCGTCTCCACCCCGGGAGGCTGGATGGGGCCAGGCAGCGGCTCGTCCCGGCCGGGAGGTGGCGGCGGTGCCAAAGCTGCCTCGGAGCCCGGCGCCAGGACGGAGGTGCCGGCCACGCTCTTGGCTTAGACCCGCCGAGCAGGAGGAGGAGGAGGAGGAAAAGAAGGCAGCTCGGCGGCCCGGGCGCGCGCGCCCGCTCCGCTTTGCGGTTGTCCCGGGGAAGGGAGGCCGCGAGGAAGCCCTCTCGCTGCGTCTGCTCGCCTGGCTGCCTGGCTGGCTGGCAAAATGGGCTGGAGCCGGGAGATCGGCGGACCCGGAGCCCGGCTTCTGCTCCTGCTGCTACTGTTGCTGGTGCTCCTAGCCGGGCAGCAGCCGAGCGCCGGCCGGAAACCTCCGAAGAGAAGATGCGCTTCGGGCTGCACCTGCACCAAGGACACGGCGCTGTGCGAGGGGGTCAAGGAGATCCCCCGCGATCTGCCCCCGAACCTCATCTCCCTGTAAGCTTTCTCTCGGCGAGGGGAAGGGAGGGGGCTTCTCTTAACCTCCCCCCTTTCCTTCCTGTCCATCTATTTCTTTCTTTTTCTTTTTTCCTTTTTTTAACCCTCTCCTTGCCTAACAGTAGTCCAAAGAGCTACGGTAGTTGATCTCCCGGTTTATGTACATTAAATCGACGTGGACTCATTTGATCTCAAGATCTGAGCTTAAGTCTATGGCGGACCCCTCTCCCAAGATTAAAGCTTGCAGGGGGGGGCTTCCCGAGGAGAAACAGACACCCCTTTTCTCCAAAGGAAGACCAGCTTGGGCTCGGCCCCCATCTTCTGAAAACTGTCATGAAAGGGGTCCTGGGGACAGGCCAAAGATCTGCAACCCCTGGCCTGGCCCAAACCCTTACCTGAAGGCTGGCCTTGCTTGCAGAGTTGAGGACAACTTTTGTGGGGTCTTTGGGTGGCTGGGAGGGGGTGGAAGTGGCTGGGAGGGAGCAGGGGAATTGAACTAGCAAGGAGCCATGAAGTGCATTGCTTTCCCTTGGTGAGAGCACCCATCTCTGGTGCAGTGATGGCAACCAGGTTAGCAGAGATGTGGATGGGAAGAAATGGATTTTAATCAGGAGAACACACAAACACACCACAAATTCTGCTTGAAGTCAGCTGAAATTGACCATGCATCCTTTCTCTTCTTCCTTAGAAACTCACCTCCTAAAAGCAAGCTACCCTAGTTGCTTGTTCTATTTTTTTTCCAGTGTATTTATGAGATACTTAATGGGGCAGTTTCCAGCAAATCTTGCATCATTGGATCCCCAAAACAACAACCCTGTGAAAGAAGATAGGCTGAGGGAAAGCAACTGGCCCAGGTTCACCCTGAGTCAGGAAAAACACAAATTTAGATTTCCCCCATCCGGACCTTAATCAATACACCGTGCTGGCATCCAAAAATCAGGAAAAGATGTCCCTCCTTGAAAGGATGGGGAAATTGCTGAAACTGGCAGCTGCAAACATTCCCTCCCACCACCAGCAGCCTGCCCAAATTATTACAGATCTCCCGAGGAAATTAGATGCAGCTTGACAACCCCCCCCCCTTGAAACTCGGAATATTGCCAGAGATATACCTCCATGCAGACAAATGCACCTCAAGCTGCTGCAGGTAAATTCCTCCAGGTAAAACTGGCTCCAGGAAACTGCTCTTGTCACCCATAGGAGAGTGTTCAAATGGCAACATCCAGAATTTTGGATTATTATCCATTGCTAGTTTACTTTGAGCAAGATTATTCTTGATGGTTGGTCCTTTTCTTTGGGCCAGATGATGGTGCCGCTGCTTTGTTGCTGAAAACATCTCTCTCTCTTTCTCTCTCTCTCTCTCTCTCTCTCTCTTTCTTTCTCTTTCTCTCTCTCCAGGTGTCTTATTCGATCTGGGTTCACTGAGGTCTTGGAAGGCAGTTTTCAACAGGTGCCATCTCTCCAGCTGCTGTAAGGATCCTCTCGGTTGTGAGTGTTGTGGCATGCATCAAAATGTGTGTACTTTAAGTGTTCCTCAGTCAGTGTGTATGGTACATGAGACCCAGTCTCTGTTGCCTATTCAATCTCCCAGACACAGGATCTTGCCAAGAAGCCCTCTGAATGTGACTCCTTTTGTCTAATTGTGTAAATGCCTAGTATTTCACCTGATTCCTGATAAGGAGCATGGCAAGGATCGTGCCCTTATTTGGTCCTAGGGGGTGTATGCACTGGTTTTCTTTCCTTTTGACCTACGCTGTTCTTTGTGGATCCATCAGTCCACCTTGGGAAGTCCCCCTGAGGATCTGAATGAGGAAAGGGGAGCTGTACTCATCATGTAAAGTGTTTGAGGCACCTGATTCTGCTTACTTATATATCTGGGGTCTGCAAGGCTTAGTCTCAGAATTCCCACTATGACACCCTTCCCTTTAGATCAGGGGTCTTCAAACTTGGCCCTTTTATGACTTGTGGACTTCGACTCCCAGACTTCCTCAGCCAGGCACGCTTTCTGAGGAATTCTGGGAGTTGAAGTCCACAAGTCATAAAAGGGTCAAGTTTGAAGACCCCTGCTTTAGATATACAGGCAGTCCTCAATTCATTTAGTGACCATTCAAAGTTGCAACAGCACCGGAAACAGTGACTTGTGACCATTTTTCACATTTATGACCATTGCAACTTCCCTCCACGGTCACGTGATCAACATTCGAATGCTTGGCAACTGGCTCATATTTATGACCGTTTCAGTGCCCCTGGAATCATGTGATCCTCCTTCTGACAAGCAAACTCAATGAGGAAGCCAGGTTCACTTAACAACTGTGTTACTAACTTAAGAACTGCACTTAACAACTGTGGCAAGTAAAGTCATAAAACAGGGCAAAACTCACTTTTAACAATTGTCTCGCTTAGCGACAGAAATGTTGGGCTCGATTGTGGTCGTAACTCGAGGACTATGTGTATTGGTCTGCAGCTCTTCAGATTTTTAATCAGCGTCCCCTCCCAGCAGCCGTTTCATCACGTCTGAATATTGAGAAAGGATGAGGTATTCTCGCTGGAGTTGCAAAGATTAGGATTGGTTGGCAAAGTAATTTTAATTGCCAATTAGCAGCACCCCATTAGACAGTCAGCAAATCTGTGCATAACTCTGTCTCTGCAGATCAGTCTGTGCAAAACAAAACCCGCAAATATTCTATGTATAATTATAACTGCACCAATGGCATGTTAGGAGCAAAAATGGAGTGTGGACTTTTTCAAAGGCAGTATGTGCTGCACATTGCAGAACAAGTACACCATTGCAAAAGCAAAGACTCTTTACGATAGGGTTTCCCAACCATGGCAACTTTAAGACCTGTGGACTTCAACTCCCAGAATTCCCCAGCCAGCATGTCTGGCTGGGGAATTCTGGGAATTGAAGTCCACATGTCTTAAAGTTGGCAAATTTGGGAAGCCTTGCTCTAGGGATGAATACTTGTATATTTAATCAATTCAAGGTTTGATGAAGTTGCCATTTCCTGGTTTCACTAGGATTCCCTTCAAAGTTAATAGACTTAGAATTGTCCTGTTAATTGATTAATGCCTGAGCTTTCATCTATTGGCACCTTTAACAGGGTAACACACACCTCTATCTGTTGAGTTGTGTTCAAACCATGTATTTTTCTCAATCAGTTGCAAAGCATAATGGCTCCCTTGGCCCAGAGGCTAAAGCTTGATTAATTCCAACCTCGAGCAGGTCTTTTTAAGGCCTCTGCATGTGGTACAGATTTTCTTCTTTGGATGAGTGTATTTTGCAAAGCTGCAAAATGGGTTAATTCAGTAACCATGTTAAGTTCCCATGTTTATGGATTTGGGCAATAGACAGTGCTATTTTACCAGTTCTCAGTTATGAATTAACAACCCCGGGCTCCTTATGTGGCGTACGTAATACAGGCAGTCCTCAACTTACAACATTTCATTTAGCGACCATTCAAACTTACAACATCACTGAAATAATGACTTATGACCAGTGGTGGGATTCAGTCAATTCGCACTACTTCGGCAGAACTGGTAGCTAATTTTTTGTTGCCCAGGCCCAGAATGGACTTCCGGCAGCGGCATCCACACAGAGAACTGGTGGTTCCCATATTTGAATCCTACCACGCCTGCCTGCCTGCCTTCCTTCCTTCCTTCCTTCCTTCCTTCCTTCCTTCCTGTGGTAGGATTCAGCTGGTTCGCACCACTTCAGCAGAACCGGTAGCTAATTTTTTTGTTGCTCAGGCCCAGAATGGACTTCCGGAAGTGGCATCCACACAAAGAACTGGTTGTTCCCATATTTGAATCCCACTACTCCTTCCTTCCTTCCTTCCTTCCTTCCTTCCTTCCTTCCTTCCTTTCCTCCCTCCCTCCCTCCCTCCTTCCTTCCTTCCTACCTACCTTCCTTCCTTCCTGTGGTAGGATTCAGCCGGTTCACACCACTTTGGCAGAACCAGTAGCTAATTTTTTGTTGTCCAAGCCCAGAATGGACTTCCAGAACTGGCATCCACACAAAGAACTGGTTGTTCCTATATTTGAATCCCACCACTGAGTGTTTCCCAACCATGGCAACTTTAAGTTATGTGGACTTCAACTCCCAGAATTCCCCAGCCAGCCTTTCAACTTACTGCCATTTGTTTAGTAACTGTTCAAAGTTACTATCTGAATCCCACCACTGCTTATGACCAATTTTCACACGACAGCATTCCCATGGTCACATCAAAATTCAGAGGTTTAGCAGCTGGCTCACATTTATGACGCTTGCAGTTGCCACCTTCTGACAAGCAGAGTCAATGGGGACACCAGATTCATTTAAGCACCATGTTACTAACTTCAACAACTGCAGTGATTCAGTTAACAACTGTGGAAAGGTCGTAAAATGGGGCAAAACTCACTTAGAAAGTGTCTCACTTAACAACAGAAATTTTGGGCTCAATTGTGGTCGTACAGTCAAGCACTACCTGTGTGTGTTCATCCTGTAAAGGAGGGTGTTAGCATATCTGCATACATCATGTGTCTGTTTTTGGACCAGTGAACCGTTACAGTTGCCCATTGTAACGGAATGTAATGCTGGTTAAAAAATACGCCTTCTTTCCCATTTGCAACCTAGGAAACAGACATTGGCAAAGCAATAGTGATTAGTTTCTTTTTTCTGTTTTAACCAATGAGGTGCCTACTAATCTTGGATATTTTGGGTCTGGAAGCCTCCTCATCCCACATGCATGTTCAGATTTAAAAATACCCTTCCGAGAAAGACATTCTATGTTTCTCCATCATGTGCTCCAAAACTCATCTCTTGAGGTTGAGAAATGGATGATCTCTGACTCATTGTTGGGCCAAGGGAAATTTCAGGCAGGAAACAATTAGATCATTTCTACAATCTGGGTTTAATGATCTGCTTTAAAATGCTCAAATGAACCTGCGTGAATATTTTTAGCCCAACCAGTTGGCGGTTGGTTATAAAGGGGGAATGGGGTGGTGACGATGTTGATGGTTATGATGGAAGGAAACCTGGCAAGCAGTATCACCTTCAGTAGAAAACCGTGATGCAGATCATCTTGTCTGAGGGTTTCAAGCTACCTGCCTAGGGTGCTGCTTTCCATAGCTCTGGGCTCCCATGTCTGTCTGGCCCCTGACATCCACCTTAGTTACTTGCCCCTGATTGTAGAAAGAGCTACATGGAGCTGTATGGGCATTACATCTTATCTCTGGCCAGCTTTAAACCCAGTTTTGCTAGGCCATCCCCCAGCAGATGTTGGACGATCTGATGCCCTCAAGGCTTCTTTAACTCTGTCTCCTCTCTAGCCAGCAGCTGACTCTCCTAGGCCAGAGGTCCCCAACCCGTTCCATAGAGAGAGGTTTTTCCGCAGAGCAGAGAGTGCGTAGTTTTGTGTGCTGCCTGCATCCCACGGATGGGGCTTTGCTTGTTTATGTGGACCAGTTGCTGGCATGCTGCAGCCTGGTACCGGTCCATGGACCAGGGGTTGGGGATCCCTGCCCTAGGCTGTCCCTTCCCTGACAGCCTTATTCCCTTTGCACCCTTATTTTCCCCTCCTGCAACAGTCCTGGTTGTTCAGAGCCCTTTCATCATAGAGATGGCGTTTCCTTTAGGAACCCTAATAAGTGGCTATTTCTCCTTTGTAGTTCTTTTAAACTGACCAGCCTGCCTGCTTTTTCTCCCAATCTTCTCCTCCTTAGCTTGATCACTTACAACTCTTTGGAACTGATTGGGGACGATGCTTTTGTGGGACTTGTGCACCTGGAATATCTGTAAGTACGCAACAGCGGTGGGTTTGGGAAAAGAGGACTGAATACATCAGTGAGGACCAAGATGAGTTGACACCAGGGACTTGCCAAGCCTCAGCATCTCAGAACAGCACAGCACAGCCCCTCCCAATGTGATGGGACTTTAGCAAAGGTTGATGGAGTCACAGTCTATCACAGTGTTTTTCAATCTTGACAATTTTAAGGCATGTGGACTTCAACTCCCAGAATTCCACAGCCAGCAATCTGGACTGCTGAATATAGCAGATAAGAGACAGACCCTACAGCTCATAAAGAGATGGGCTTGCAGGGTTTAAGGGATTGAGTTGTAGCTATGGAATTATGTGGAGAAAATGCTGGAAGGAGCTGTCACAGAGAAGAGGGCATTGATTTATTCTCCAAAGCATCTAAGGGCAGCACAAGAAGTAATGGGTGGAAGCTTGTTAAAGAGAGGTCCAACGTAGAACTAAGGAGAATTTTTCTGACATTGAGAACAATTAATTAATGGATCAGCTTGTCTCCTGAAGTGCTCCATCACTGGAGGTTTTCAAAAATAGACTGGACAGACATTTGATCGGGATGGTATAAGCTCTCCTGCCTTGAGCAGGGGTTGGACTAGAAGACCTCCAAGGTCCCTTCCAACCCTATGATTCTATGTTCTATGAACTATATAAATCTGAAAGAACCCAGCCTGGAAATATATCTACTATAAGATGTGCAATCAGCTTTATTTTCCTTTATTCATGAAACTTTCATTCCAACATCTAGAAGGTTATATGTGGCTGATCCCAGATTTAGAGCCTATTTGCTTTTTGTTTTGCATGTTTCTTTATTTGTCAAATTATAGTGCTGCCTTTCTTCCAGAAACAAAAGGCAATGTTGTGTAGTGGTGGTTCTCCCCCCTCCTTCTGATTTTCTCCTCACAGGAACAGCCCTGTGAGGTAGGCTAAGTTGAGAAAGCATCAGTCGCCAAAATCATAATCTGAGGAGGGACTTAATTCCATCTTTCGTCCAACATCTTAACCACTGCCCTATTCCTTTTTGCTCCTTTCCTGAGACTTACAAGGACTTCTCTCCTACTTGCTAGATTCATTGAACAAAACAGACTAGAAGCCATCTCCAAGAATGCCTTCAGAGGCCTGAAGAGTCTTCTTCATCTGTGAGTATATTGTGGACATCTTCCTAGTTCCCCTGGACTTCTGGAGTTCTGGCAAAGTTTATCACACAACTTTGCTTACTATTTATTCATTAGATTTTATATCCAGCCTTTATTTTGGCTAAACTCAAAGTGGCATGCATTTGTAAGGGTCCCCCCAGCAACCTAGCCTCAGACGGCAATGATTTTGTGTGGTCCGGATGCCTTTATTATCCCAAACACTCCTTCATTTTGGTTCTTGGTGCTGTCTGTTGTTTGCATGCAGATATTTCATTTCCCAATTAGGGAACATTATCAGCACTGATGATGTTCCCTAGTTGGGTCATGTAACGTCTGCAAGCAAACAACGAAGCTCAGAGAGATCAAGGACTCCACAGTTCAACCCTGAGCTACCAATATTCTCTTCTGTTGGGACTGTTCCATTTCAACACACAGCACGTTCCCAGACCTGCCAACTTCCTCTAAGGATATTCTTTTTCCTTTCCATCCTCCCAGGAATTTAGCCAACAACAACTTGCAGACCTTACCAAGGCACCTCTTCCGAGGCCTGGATTCGCTGACTTCAGTGTAAGTTGTGGGTCCAGCAAAAAGAAACAAGAGTATGATTTTGGGTAGAAAACTTTACTCAACCTCACTTCCAGTTCTGGTCAAGAGGGCAATCAAGGGACACAGGTCCTTTGCATATGCAATCCAAACAGATGAATATCTCACACCAAAGATAGTCAGCTGTCCACTGGCTTAATTGATGGCTTAGAGTCAGACCCTCAACTCCCCATTACTCAAAGGAACATAAGAATTGTACAGACCATGCTCGACCTATGAACGGTCATTTAGCGACTGTTCAAAGTTACAACAGGCATCCCCCCTCCAAAGTTACTTAAGACCCAATTCCGAATTTCTAATGGCAGCCCCTCCCCCCACAGTCACATCACTGCATTTCAGGGGCTCAACAGTTGGTGTGAATTGGCAGCACTTCCAATGTCAGTTGACCATGATTTATGAAGTTTTTGCTGAAAACTGTCCTTTGCTTCATAATTAAGACACCGTGAACAGTGGGTTTGCTTAACGACTATGGCTTCACTTAATAACCGCTGCAATAAAGGTAAAATCAGGTCGGTCACATGATGATCTGCTTTACAAGTGTCACAAATTGCAACTGTAATGGGCAAGGACTATATGTGGCCCATTATACCTGGAAGGTGCCATTGTAAAAAAGTTGGCACCTAAATCAATGAATCCCATTGGAAAGGGATGAAACATCCGGGATTTGCCTGTTGTGCTGCTTGGTACAAAGAGGTCAATTGTTTAAAACCAAGGATAGCTTTTAGGTTAGTTTTCAGGCTTGCCCTGGAAGAGGTGATTTGACAGCAAAAAGATTGGAAGTGTTGCCCCCTAGTATAGTTTTGGTGAGTTTTCATACGAGATGGATTTAACATAGATTTTTACAAAGAAAATAAGACATCCACCCAAAATTGTTATCATCGGATTTTGATGGACCAGCCTGAAGATTTCCCCAGGATTGCACAGGGATTGAGGGCTGGACGTTTCCTGGTTTTGTCTTGGGGGAGGAAGAGAAGGATGTGAACTGTGGCAAGTAAGAGAGAGAGGGGCTGGCCAAAGAATGAACCACCTTCTGCCCCAAGAACCTGGAAAGGCATTCCCCCCCCAAAAAAGACACAGAGCTGGCCCTGGGTGACCGTTTTGCTGCCACCCTGCTCTCCTGGCGATCACCCACCGACTTCTCTCTCAACAGGGACTTGCGGGGAAATGCTTTCCACTGTGACTGTAAGCTGAAGTGGCTGGTGGAATGGTTGAGCCACACCAGCGCCTTGGTGGAACCCATTGAGTGCCACTCGCCGGCTGAGCTGAACCGCACCAGTCTCAGCGAGCTCCGGCCTGGAGGGTTCAGCTGCATCACCACTGGTAGGTCATCCTTTGTCCTAGGGGTTCCCTCCAGCGAGGAAGGACTGCCAGCCCCAGCAGGAGTCAAAAGCAGCCAGCAAGTATGACTGTCCCGGAAGGGTCAGCCAAATGGGTTAGCTCCTTGCTTTGTTTCTCCCTAATGGGGAGAAGAATGGTCTTGGCTGGCTATGTAGTAGTAGTAGTAGTAGTAGTAGTAGTAGTAGTAGTAGTAGTAGTAGTAGTAATAATAATAATAATAATAATAATAATAATAATAATAATAATAATAAAGTTGGAAGGGACCTTGGAGGTCATCTAGTCCAACCCCCTGCTCAGGCAGGAAACCCTATACCATTTCAGACAAATGGCTGTCCAGTCTCTTCTTAAAAACTTCCAGTGTTAGAGCATTCACCGCTTCTGGAGGCAGATTGTTCCACTGATTAATTGTTCTAACTGTCAGGAAGTTTCTCCTTAGTTCTAGGTTGCTTCTCTCTGGTTAGTTTCCATCCGTTGCTTCTTGTCCTGCCTTCAGGCACTTTGGAGAATAGCTTGACTCCCTCTTCTTTGGGGCAGCCCCTGAGATATTGGAATACTGCTATCATGTCCCTCCTCGTCCTTCTCTTCATTAAACTAGACATACCCAATTCCAGTCACCGTTCCTTATATGTTTTAGCCTCCAGTCCCCTGATCATCTTTGTTGCTCTTCTCTGAGTCTCAATATCTTTTTTACATCCTCATTTTTGTCTTGAGTACCAAAAAGACCTTGGTTGACACTGGATTCTAGGTCTTTTGATTTGCAGGGAAAGCTTCTATCTGCAGGTTTAATTCAAGCAGCCAGATGTCTTAGATCAGTGATCTTCAAACTTGGCAACTTTAAGACATATGGACTTCAATTCTCAGAATTCCTCAGTCAGCCATGGCTGGGTGAGAAATTCTGGGAGTTCAAGTCCATAAGTCTTAAAGTTGCCAAGTTTGAAGACCCCTATCTTAGATTAACTCTTCCCTCCTTAGAGAATGTATAGCCATGGAAATGGAAGAAGTTTGAATTAAGCTCAGGGCAGGACAAATAGAAAGTGTATAGGTTTGTCAAGGATCAAATGAAAGTAGTTTGTGGCTATTTATTAAGTTTCTATCTCACTAAGAAATGTGGCAATTCCAATCTAAACCAATGGCATCCTTCAGGTGTGTTGGAGAAACCTATGAATTCTGGGAGTTGAAGTCCCATACAAGCACATACTGTGGCAATGGAATGGGGAAGTTTCATGTAGACAGAGGTTGCTTAGATTGTGGTGTCATTTTCCCAGCCTTCTTTTCACTTTATTTGCCAAAGTGGCTGATCCTGCTGAAGTCGGTGCTGCTTAAATTCACAACATGCCCACTTTAATTTAAACAACTTTGCATTATTTGAATGATAAGCTGAGCAGCGGGTCTTAAGAAATGTGTTCTTGCCCACGTGGTTTGATCTGTTTCATGGGATGGCATATGTTGTGCATATGGTCCATATCTTCAGTGTTCTTATCCCAGGAGGATGGAAGATGTCTCTGCAAGGACTATTCATCACCATGATTACATGCAACATTTGTTTCCGGAAGTCTTATTCCCTTGAAAGGGGCAAGCTGAATGCTGAAGATTGGTGGCGGACAGTAACTTAGTTGCTTTCATTACCTACTGGTGAGGATTCACAGACATCTGCCTGTCCATGTTGGAAGCAATATTTTGGAATTGATGGACTCTTGGATCTGCAGCGGACACAACTTTTGTTAGTCTGAAAGCTGAATTTGGCTTTTGGAGAGCATTCTGGGGGATGCAGTTCCAAGAAGTGGGCAGGGCCGGGACGAATCATAAAATTGGCTCCTTGTTGCATTAAAAATTGCAGTTCAGCTTCAGAGCAGGCTTGAAGGCACGGTTAAATTTTGCAAGGCAAAGCCTGGAACTCAGAAGGGATTCTTTTCACTTGCTCTGGGTTGACCCAGCAGGATTCATCATTGTGGATCAGCCAGAAGGCCTAGCAAAATATATCAGAGTGAGCAAATAAAGATGTTCTGCCTGGAACATTTAAACACAGCATCAGTCCTTGCAGAAATGCATTTATTAATTAATTGCATTCCAGGCTGTCAACAGAACTTCGCTTTCTGAATAGTTGAAGGCCACCAAGGATTATGAGATTCCACCCATTTGAATGCTAATTTCCACTTCCTCTCCACAGAACTTGTCCTCTTTGACACTTTGCCAGAGCAGTCACTTTCAATAGAAACATTCGTCTACCATGATGAGGAGAATTTGGTGATTGCACAGCCCTTTACTGGACGGTGCAACTTCTTGGAGTGGGACCACGTGATTGGGAAATTTCGCAGCTATGCCACTATCAATGGTAAGAAACCCACAAATACTCAACGCAATCACTTTTCTCCTACCAGCATTACTAGTGAAGACATTGCCTTTGTTGTTTGGAAACATACAGTGAGTGACATTCAGCAGCACCAAGCTACACCCCATAATGAATAAGGAGCTACCCTTTTATGCCTATCAAATTTCTCTGCAGTTTGTAGGTCTCTAAGCTGTGGTCTGTATTTAGCTCCGATCCTCTCCTTGATACACACACCCAGAGGTTTGCTGCACTATTATAAGAAAAGAGCAGGCAAAGTTGGTGGGGGTGGAGTTAAGTGTGTCTTCAGATTAGAATCCTTGCATGCCCACAAGCACGCCAAACCCAACCCATCCTGAATTCTATTGACCTTTATCTGATGCCAATTTAGTTAATGGTAATTAAATAGATAACTAAGGTAAGTAAGCATCACTCCATCTTTCTCCTTCTCAGGTTCTTCCACTGTGGTCTGCAAACCTTTGGTGATTGAAGGTGAACTTTTTGTGGTGGTAGCTCAGCTCTTTAGAGGGTCCCACATCTACAAGCGACAGGAAGCTACAGGACAGTTCCTGCACACCCAGGTCATTGAGAGCTCCCGTATCCGCAAGCCCAATGACATTGAGGTCTTCCGAATGGAGGGAGACTGGTATTTCATCATGGCGGACAGTTCCAAGGCTGGCTCGACCACGTTGTATCGCTGGAACGGTCACGGCTTCTATTCCCACCAGTCCTTGCATTCTTGGTATCGTGACACAGATGCTGAATTTCTGGAGATTGCTGGCAAGCCTCACCTCATCTTGGCCAGCAGCTCTCAGCGCCCTGTTGTCTATCAGTGGAACAAGCAGCAATTTGTGCGCCGTACAGACATTCCTGATATGGATGATGTCTATGCTGTCAAGCATTTCAAGGTCAAGGATGACGTGTACATTTGTCTGACACGGTTCCTTGGAGATTCCAAGGTGAGATTGGAGATTGGAGAGGTTGGTCATTACTGTACCTGCTTCTCTGGGGTCACACATTTCACCAAGCCCTAATGTGGTTTGTCCACAAATTCCAGAAATGTGGCTATTTGGCCTAGTGTGTTGGGTGAATCCAACCACTGGGGCTTGCAGATCAAAGGTTATAACTGAGCCTATGTGGGCCTTAGGACACTGTGGCATTTTCAAGTAAACCTGATGCAGTTTTAAACATAGCCTGTAGGAGAATATATTTGTGCTTGGTGAAAACTATTACTTTTGTCTGCTGCCAATCAAAAACATGTCTCAGTGAGAAGCACAAGTTGTTACAATTGATGGCCTGAAGGCTGGACAGATCTAGGATGACCTCCAGATATGTTGGATGTCAACTCTCTTAATTCCTACCCATCATTAGGAAAGCCTACAATAGTTGAAAAGTCTTAACATATGGTACCAGCTGCTCAGAAAACCAGTGTTGCCATCCCATCTCCTTGATGGAAGATTTTGAGTAAAAGGCTGGGAAGCCATCAATTAACACATTAATCTGGCTTCCTGCACTAAGCAAGAGCTGACCTTTGATGGCTTATACAGACTTACTCAAATGCATATTTCTATAGTGTTTGGTATGGCAAAGCAGAACTTATCTGAGTTTCTGATGAGAGTGATTATGTCACATTACCATTTCTATTGGAAGCACATAAGCAGATGAAGTAATGATAAATTGAACAAACAATAAATGTACATGATGGTCCAAAGAATAAGCTATCTGAGGTTGGTGCCACTACTATTGTGCACCACTTTAGTTTAATCCTAGCAAGAAAATAGATGCAGATTATTAAGCTTGGTCCTTTCTCTTCAAGCTCAAAGCAACTATACTGGTTCTGGACCCATTTAGAGACGAAGTTGAGCCAGATACCTCCTTCCCATTGTCAGGTTGGAGGGATGGAAGAATTAGGTTATTTAATCCAATTTCACCTGTACTCTCTTTGCTAATTTCAGACTATAAAGCCTCCAATTAAAAATTCTGGGATTTTAATGAGTTCTGACATTAAGTACATTAAGTCTATGCCTTAATGGTTCTTGCTAGATCTGATCTTAGTAGAAGAGAATATGCCAAGCATATGGTTCAATCTTGGCTCAATCAAATCTAATTTATTGGGCCAAGATAAATCTGAGCCAGGTTTTTCTTTTCCAATGTGTTATGAATCAGGTAGATTGCTCATTGAGGAATAAATGAAATCCCTCTCCTTGGTTGACTCCCATTGTTTTCCACTCTCTGGAGAAGCCTTGCATCTGGACTTAACATTAGCTTCTTTTCTCCCATAACAACACTCGCATCTTTCTAAGACTTGCCGTGCTAATAGCTGCAGCTGACATTGCCCTGGGCTTGCATACCTGCACGCCCTTTTACTGAAACTATCTTCAAAAATTGCATTTGAATCTCCTTCTGCTCTCCACAGGTGATGCACTGGGATGGTTCCATGTTTCGAGACGTCCAACAGATGCCTTCTCGCGGATCCATGGTCTTCCAACCGTTGAGCATCTCCGGCTATCGCTATGCCTTTCTTGGCAATGACTACTCCTTCAGCAAAGTCTACCGCTATGACCCCATCACTGGCCTCTTCCAGCACTTCCAGGAGCTCAATACCCAGGCCCCACGTTCCTTTGCCCACCTCAACGTTGACAAGCAAGACTTCCTGATTGCCTCCAGCTTCAAGGGCAAGACACATATTTACCGCCATGTCATCATAGATCTGAGTGCCTGAGCCTAGCGACAGTGGGGCTGGGGGGCATTGATCAAGAGTAGGAGGCAGCTACCGCAGGGAGAAGCAGTCCAGGAGAAGACCGCTGGCTCCTGGAAAGTGCAGTACCAGAGGCAACCACAAGGGGGACAGCATTGGACGTAAATGCAGTTGTGGGTGCACTTCTCCAATGGCACAAGACACCAGCTGGCCACCAGGTGGGAGCTAGGCAACTTAAGAGCCATAATCAATCACTAGCAAATGCAACTTGAATGGCAGCAGAAGTCAGCAGATTTTTCTTTTCTTTTGACCTGCCAAATGATGATAAACTGATGCTGCTATTGCAGGAAAGGGCAGATAGCTTGCAGTTTTGCAGTGGGGCTAACTCAGAAACCCTCACCAACAAGGCAGAAGTCAACCCTCTCCAGAATTGCTCGGAATTTCCATTCTTTTCCCCCGTTCTATCATTTCCTAACAAGGATGAGGTTGATTCAGTTGAATTTTCTTCTTCCCTTTTAATGGATTCCTGGAAACTTTTTTTTTTTTTTTTTTTGCTTATTTTGCCTGCTTGCTTGTATGGCTCTATTTTCTTTTGAAAACAATTTTTTTAAAAAAAAAAAATTGTGCAATCGTGCATCAAATAACTGTAACCAGTCCTATGCGTGCCTGTTCAAAAAGCAAACACCACTATGGCTGAGTTCACACAATGCAACAGAGACATTAAAATGGAGAATAGCTTGGGATTCAGTTTTGGGGGATTGTAATCTATTGTGGAAACCAGGCCACGATATTTAGTTATCCTAAAGGGTTTTTTGGCTATCCCAAGTCGAGGGTCCAAAATGTTGTGTGAACACAGCCAAGGAATCTTAGAATACCTTTAAATGTCTTACGGTATAAGCTTTGTATGTTATACTTCCCTAGGAATAGGTCCCGTTGATCTTAACTGGGATTAACAGCCCAACCCATAGATATTGGTCTTCCTCCCACTCAGTCTTACTGGAAGCTTGTCTCAACCTTTCCATGAGATATGAACAATTTCCTGCATTCAGCAGAGGTTTTTTCCAAAGCAGATCTACATCAAGCAATGTTACAGTCATTTTCTGGTTACATTCAATACGTTTTAATGGCCGTTTTCTATTTCCCAGTTTAAGGATGTATAAACATACACAATGTTAGGCATCAAACTATGTCAGGGAGAGACATGACTGAAGCACAAGCTTAATATTAAGCACACAAGGGGTCCCAGGGAATCTTGATCAATCGGAGGACTTTGGAGGGGGAGAGAGAACAAAGTAACATAAAAGGCGCATGGACTCATTGATTGAATGGGCAGAGGGGAACCCTTCTGGACAGAACCGTTAGCTGAAACAGAGGTGGACTTGCAAGGAATACGGTCCAGCATTTATTTTTCAACCGTAAATAACAATTATTCAGAGTCATCAAATCTCCTTCTAGGAGAGGAGGTACTCTATTGTATATCTTGCTCTCACTGGACTGGGAGAGACACAGCTCAGGCAGAAAATACACCAGGGGTGGGTGGGGTGGGGGTCTCTTCAGAAGGACAGGCTGATTTTCCTGTATGGGCTCCCCTTTGCGATGTGGCGTCCCACATACATACATTGTAAATAAAAGTCAATATATTGTTTGTGGGCTCGTGAGTGTTCGGTCTTGTCTCCGTTTCCCAAATGCTGAAGGAAGCATGCGGGGATGCTACTTGAGACCCAAAGGGAGGGAGATCGATTCCCTGGCCTTGAAACAACAACTGGAGTGCACCCACAACCATTTTGATACAAATTCTTTGCAAGGGTCAAAGCACTGAAATACTTCAGTCGAACATTGAGCTGAAAAAGGTAAGGTGGCTATTGGATGTATTATGCTAAAGCACAGTTTCTTTAGCTAGGATTTTATTGAATAAGCCACCATTGACAGGGTTTGCCCAGAAGGGTAATCCAGAAACTGAGCAAGCCATATTCTCAGTGGTACAGAATGAAGCACAGGTAATCCTCAACTTATAACCATTGGGGTAAGTGACCATTTGAAGTTATAATGACACTGAAAAACAGTGACTTATGACTGGTTTTCACATGACCGTTACAGCATCCCCAGGGCCATGTGATCACAATTTGGGCATAATTTTGAATGCAGTGTCCTGGGATCATGTGAGCCACTGTTTGTCAGTTCCCTAGCTGGGTTCCGACAAGCAAAGTCACTTAAGGACTACATGATTCCCTTAAAAATAGCAGAGATTTGCTTAACAGCCGTGGCAAAAAGGTCATCAAATGGGACAAAACTCACTTAACCACTGCCTTGCTTAGCTTCGGGCTCAGTTGTGGCTGTAGGTCAAGGACTACCTGTAGGGGAACAAGCCAGCATAAGTTGCTTGTTTCTGACTTTCTGCATAATACAACACAGACCTTGTTTAGTTAATCAATTCCCACAAGGTAGATGTCTACTCATTCTGGTGGCCAAGCAATTCTATTGCAGCGTAACGTCGTTCATAGATTGGGGGCATTTTTTTCCTTGCATTCATCAGAGAGGGTCTACTCTAACAAGGCAGTGAGATTTTATTTCCCAAAACAAATGCAAGAAAAGGCAACAAAACAAGCCTATGGCTCCTTGGTCAGGAGGAGAGCCATTTCACCAAGAGTCGGGGCCGGTGGCGGTCATGGGAAGGGACTCCATTCAGCACTCGCTGGCTCCTACAAGACGCGGGTGAGAAAAACCAAACAACAAGGCACATTTTAGATGAGAAATGGCGTGGTTTTCCCCTCCTCCCACATAAAAGATTGACTCGGGAGAGACGGAAGGCAATTTGTTCTCTTACCTGCAAGGGGTTGTTTCGGTGCCACGACGATGTACGTGCTAAATGGGGGGCAAAAGTTGAGGTTAAGGAAGCTGGAGCCCAGATTTGCATCCTCAACCCACCTTCTCTTTTTGGAAAGGAAATTCAAGATTGCTCTCGTCCCAAACAAGAAGCCCAATTGTGCTTACTCAAGTGATCTTAACCCTGTGTTTCTCAACCTTGCAACTGTAAGAGGTGTGGACTGCAACTCCCAGAATTCCCCAGCCAGCCATGCTGCCTGGGGAATTCTGGGAGTTAAAGTCCACACCTCTTAAAAGTTGCAAGATTGAGAAACACTCTGTCAACAGGGGTCCACCCCTTCCAATCCATCTTAACATGCCCCGTAGCTGTTTTAGAAAAGCTCTCCTACCTGCTTTTCTTTTTGGGCTTGCATTTGCACTTTCCACCTGGTGGAGAGGGATGAGAAGGACAATGATTAAAGCAAGAAAAGGATGGGGCAAAATTACCAAGGTCAGCTGATACATCTAAGGCAGCTTAGCAGGCAAAACAGTCAACTTCAGTTCCTGCCTCTTCCTAGAGTGGTTGGAGAACATCTAGTAGGAAGCAGGAGAAGCCAGTGTGTTGCAATACTCTGCGGGTTAGAATTCAGTGTTTCCCAGCCCTGGCAACTTTAAGGGATGTGGACTTCAACTCCCAGAGTTCAATTCTGGGAATTGAAGTCCAGATATCTTAAAAAGGCTGAGGTTGAGAAACACTCAATTCTAGATAGACCTGGGCTCTATTATAGAAGACAGTGAAGTTCTGCTGCAACTCCTAAAACACACTTTGCATATGGAAGATATTGACCAGATTCATATCCTATATTAAGCCATAATTGTATTCCACAATGGCTGAGCCAAAGCCAAGAGATCTACATCATGGCATGGTAGAGAAAGTGAATCCAGATGCATGGAATCTGCCCTGTAAGAGACTGTTGAACATCCAATAGCCCAAACTAGGTACAGTAGTGGCCAAAATTGTAGAAACGTTTTGGGAAAAGCGTACAGTAGAAATGCCACCTTTGGTTAAGTTTCCACCAATTTTTCTTCTAATTTCTTTATAACTGTAGCCTTGTTCACTTAATAATACTATTTTACATCGCTTTCTGGGTGATCAGTCAACTCTTTGCACCATTACTTTAATTTTATTATGTTTTACAAGCTCACTAAATGAAAGAACACAATAACTCAACCAACTTGATAGCGATCCCATAACACACTGACAAATGTCCTCTTCTCAGCTTCAATACATGACATCAATAACTGAATCCTACTGTGATCTGATTGGCTCATTGGCAAAAGAAGATGACACCTGATTGGCTCTCTAAACACTCATACTCATTGGCTACAATCGGATAAAGGAAAGCTACCTGATATCAACCTAAGCAAGTTGTGCTTCCTTTTTCTGGTTATTTGGCTATAACTTTTCATAGAATACAGTACAGGTAATTGAACAAACTTTGTTGCATTACAATCTTGATTAAATTATCTTTCCATTGATATATAATTTTATGGTACTACTCCAAAAAAAAGTGGTTATTAGCCATCAAACCTCAAAAATACACTTTTCCCGAAAGGTTTCCACAATTTTGGCCACTACTGTAGGTCTCATGAAGTTGAATCCTAGGAATTGCATGTCATGGACTCCCCTCCCCACCTCTGCTTTGAAAAATCAGGGTTAATTGGAAAGCAATCACTAACATTTCTTCAAAGCCTAACCCTCGTGGGATTGATTAATGCATTTTTGTTTCATTGCCAATGAATTCACTGGGGGGGGGGTCCTATGAATAGGCAGAAGGAGAAACCAACTCGGATTACAGAGGGTAGAAGATAGGAGTAAGTAATTGTACCAACTACAGGTAGTCTTCAACTTAACAACGACAACTGAGCCCAAAATCTGTGGCTAAGGAAGACATTTGTTTAAGTAAATTTTGCCCCATTTAACAAACTTGCTTGTCACCTTTGTTAAGTGAATTGTTGCAGTTGTTAAGTTAGCAACACGGTTGTTAAGTGAATCTGGGTTTCCCCCATTGACTTTGCTTAGCAGAAGCTCACAAAAAAGTGATCACATCATGCCGGGACCCTGCAACCGTCATAAATGTGAGTCAGCGGCCAAGTGTCTGAATTTCGATCACGTGACCATGGGGATGCTGCAACGGTCCTAGGTGTGAAAAACGGTCATAAATCACATTTTTCAGCACTGTTGTAACTTTGAACAGTCACTAAATAAACTGTTATAAGTCAAGGACTACGTGTAGTAGTACTTAGCTCCCAGTGATTCTTCTTTTGAAGGAGAATGCTATGTGTTTCACCCTCATGTAATTTTCTACTACACAGTGGTGAGGGGGCAATGTGTTTAAACAAGAGTTAGTCCTTGACCTAACGCAGCCAAATGTCTTGGGGTGTCTGTGGTCAATTCTTGGTGTTTTGGGTGGGTGTATATCTATTTAAAGTATATACATTCTAGCCTGCAGCACGAAAGGCTTACAGATCAAATTACTTTTAAAAATAGCAGACCTCTTTTTCGGGTGACAACTGTAAAGATAGAGGGAGAGGGAGAGAGGAAGGGAGAGAGAGAGCGCAAAAGGAAAAACGAATGGGGAGGGCAAAGGAAAAACAGAGAAACCAAACATCTACAAAAATCCTCTCATTAGGAAGGAATGAAAGAGGGAGGAGGAGAGTAATATGAATGCTTCCTCAGAAGGATCATGATAAAATAGTTTGACACTTCAACTGGGAAAGGACATTTACTTGGCCCAGGGAAGAATCTGATCCTAAACATACATTATAAAACAAAAAGGTCCTTCCTAAGGACTCTACACAGACAGCCTTTTCCCAGTCTCCCAGAATTGTTCTCTTCCCCTAATTGTTGTTTCCACTTACTCAGGAGGATAATAATTCCCAGAACACACAGAATGCCTGCAAAGACCATACCACCAATACGGAGCGAATCCCAATCTAGAAGAGAAAGGAGACCATTGAGTGTTGCTTTTAGATTAGCAGCAAAATCTGTCTTGCTCATTTCAATACTACCCGCTTCACAAAAAAAAGTGCGGTGAGGACAGCTTTCCCCTTGGTTGAAGAATTCCGGCTGGCTAAGAAAGAGACAGTTTGTGTTAAGGGACCAGCTTGTGCAAATGAAAAAAAAAAAAAACATTCTTGACAGAGATGCCTACAAAGTAGGCCACATGAGTATATGGATGTGGGGGGAAAGGCTGTTATGGAGTACAATCTTTCCCCACATTTTTTCCTGCTTTTTATAAACACTACATCCACACACAACACACTATTAAAATGTTGCTGAGAATGAGATATACTTACCATATGTAAAGGGAGAGTATTTATCTGAATAAAGGAAAAGAAAGATAGTTAACACTCTGTTGCCTGGGATCTGCAACTCTGGTTAGGCAAGTAGCAAAGGATTCCAGGCCACATCTTTGCAAGAAACCAACAGTTCCAAATAGCTTCCGTAATTTTGCAGCAAAAAACATAGACTTGGGTGGTATGAATCCTGCCTTATTCTTGAGTGGAGAACTAGTAACTCCCCAAATGTTGCAGAACTACAACATGAACTATACAAGCATAGACAGCCAGCATAGACAATGGCATTGAAGGTGATGTTTGGAAACATCTGGAGGACTAGCTTACCCATACCTTATTGAGATTGTAGATCTTTCTGTCCTAGTTCTGTTTTGTATCCTGTCCACTCTTATGCCTCACTTCCCAGACACATCACTCAAAGAACCCTCAGGAATAACCTACTGGTGATCAGCCATCAGCACATCTTAATCTCTGTTGGCTGATCTCAATGATGCCCTGAGGAATTTCATCTGGCTTGAAAGAAATCTTTCCAAACCCACCACCTCTAACATCCCTCTAGAAACTACTAAAGCTGAGGAGGGGGATCTCTGGTCTCCTTCAGAGTTCTCCAAAGTGGTCATTATTAATCCCCAAGTCTCGGTGGCATATCCAAGGGGTTGTTATCATTATTCACAGTGCTGTGAATTAAAGTAGTATTTATCAAATTATTTTCATATAATACATCTTCGGGATTGATGAAGGCGTCAATAGATGAAAAGTTTGGTGACCCCTGGTCTAGTTTTTCATGATCAGCCTGATCTCCAATAGAATTTCAAAGACGTCTTCTGCCCTGTTTACAGGAAGACATCAGCCTATGAAGTTACTCACCTTCGGGGTCCTTTGCCTTCAGAACAGGAAACCCTGCAGAATTGAGATGAAAAATATTATTGAGCGATGACAAAAATACAGCCCTCCATTACTGCCTCCCAATTCTAAAGATACTATAAAGATCAGAAGGACTGGCAGAACCTGGAGGCGGAGTTAAAAAGGGGATCTGCCTAGAATCCTTACATAGCCACAAGCAAACTAAGTCCTGTCATAAATTCCACTGAACCATATCTAATTCCAAGCTAGTGCTAATTAGTTGGGAAGATTGCATAGGCAATAAATCAGTTTAATTGGACTTTCACTGGTGGATCTGATCTTTTGCCCTGACAGATTCCCAAGAACATTCTAAATCTATTTTAGAAAAGACCAAAGATGAAGAAAAGTGGCATGAACATTTACCAGCCAATAGACAAAGGACGATATTCATGACGGTGGATTTCATCTTGATACAGAATGAGATCTAAGGGGGAAAAAAGAAAAAATGGCCAATTCAGATTTTCTATTAGCCAACTCCATGTTCTTAACTCATCTAATTAAATAAGATTATATATTTTCTCTCTCTCATATATATGCATATGTAAATATTTTATTGGTTTTTAACTATAATAATCTCCAGTGCCTGGTGTACAACTTGTTGTCTTGGTTTATATTTTAACAAGAAAAAAGGACAATAATAATTAATTATCAATAATGATTAAATTTGATAATTCCATAATTAATACATTAATTAATGATATATTGCTTTGATCTTCCCTTCTCCCATTTGTATTGTTCTTCTTCAACCTTAACCAAAATATAATTCTTAATATTTTCAATATATAAATGATTAGATATAGGCATTTTTTATATTTATACAAATAATAATCTCTACGTATAACATTTTTTCAGCTTATATTATTCTTATAACCATCATCTCATTAGTTCAGCATGCATCCTATTTTCATAATTTCTGTTTACGCTTAATTTCCCTTACATTCAATCCAATTCTTATCAGTCATAATTTCTTCATATGTTAGTCATCTAACTATCCATTTAGGTACATCATCCCAATATTTTATATATCATGCATAATGATTATTATTATTATTATTACATTGACATAAATGGAAAATTGTAACCAAGAGTATAAATATTTGCCAGAGTTATATCTCCTGGGGTTCTTTCTTGTTTCTGACTAAAGAAAGAAGTTCCCTTTTGATCCATCTTAGACCCAAGTCTGGGCAATAAATGATACTCAGGACTGGCCATAACACAACCTTATTTCCACCACATTTCACAGTAGCAAATTCCAAAATTGAATTATTTCTTTTTGCCTATCTTGATCCGTCCAAGATTTCATAGGGAGATTGCCTGATGCTAGTATTTGGGGAGGAGGGAAACAGCTTCTCCTTATCCATTTTATTCTCATGCATAATTCCTTTCAAGACTTTAGGGCTGTGCATTTATGCAGAATTGCAACAGAGGAAAAATGGGTAGGTGTCACGCTTGCACTCAAGGCACCCAACGCCAGAAACAAGACTGTTACCGGGCGGTGGGGGCATCCGGGGGGGTGTGTGTTCTGATCTTGCATCTAAAACTGGGCTATAACTGCCCACATCCCTCATAGTAAGAGAATGCAGATGGTTGGGTGTCATCAGATACAACTGGAAGGTGACTTTTTCATTATTCTTGCACAGACCATCTTATCTAACCTGATGCATCCATAAGATTATATCTTCCTTGTTGCCAAGCTGGTTTGGCAAACTGCCATGGTAATTAAGAAGAACGGGAATTGTAGTCCAGCATGTTTGAAGAATATCACATGGGAGGGGAGGGGAAGCTTCATCCTGACATTGCAAAATAGTCTTTTTTTAACTGTCTGGGGTCACAAAAGATTTCCCCAAGAACCCTCAGCCGCTAGTTTAAAAGTCTGTTTTAAAGCTTAGAAAATGAACATTGAAGAAGCTGACAATAATTAGTTCCCCAATGCAAAACTAAAACTAAAACAAAATATTAAAAAAAAAATAAGTACAGCAGCTAAAAATTCCACCAAGTAGCCCAAGCAGCATTTCATAGCGTTTCTGAAAAGAATTTTTCTTACATACTTGGGGGGGGAGTAAAGTTTTATTTTTATTTATTAAATTGTATTACATTTATATGCCGCCCGTCTCATCGATAAAGTGACTCTGTTGCTTAGCTAAAAGCCTTCTTGAACACACAACTTAATACAGAATAACAGAATAAGTTCTGACACTGCATTCAGTCGTATCTTGATTTAATATTAAACCATTAAGCCACCATTCATACATTAAGCCATAAAACACTGTTTACAAATTACAATGACTGAATTCATACAATGCCACATACTGGCTTAAGCTCATGCTGTGAAAGTCACCTGAGATCCTTTCAGACTGTCCTTTCCTAATAATCTCAAAATTATGCTACTAATTCACTTTTCTTCTGTCTTTAAATACTGTAAATGTATTTGTAATGATGTCACAGGTAAGAATCACCAGAGTGTTGCCAAGAGAATACAATATTTCTGGAACCACCTCTAAAATCACATAGCAAGCAGAATTTTTTTCACACACACAAAAACCCTTATTGAGAAATAGCCTTGAAAATGCATTTTGACAAAGTAGATGCCACCTTTGTGACAGTCTCAGGAGGACTCAAACGTAGAGCTTTGGGTGATGATCAGAACGTTTTAGAAGATAAATATGGGCAAATATGGAAGGAGTAAAAGAGAATGGGTCACAAGACATGGCTATGTATGCCTGTAACCAAGTAGAATCCATAAGTGCCTAACAAAGGTGGCACAATGACAGAATATTCCAAACAGAACGAATGCTTTATCCATGTTCTAATCCTTTAGGATGCCCATAAGAATCACATGTTAACGGTCTGGTGAATAGAAAGCGTTTTTGAATGACAAATTGCTTTGGAAAAAGCTCAACTCCATTTTGACTATTCCAAATGTGTGGTGTTCTATTCCCAGAATCCCCCAGAATAGCCATGCCAGCTGGGGAATTCTGGGAATTCATTTGATGCATCAGCTGGGTCTTTTGAAGTTTGTTACTTACCCAATAATTAAGCAGGTGCATGCAATAGTTAAGGGCTGGGAAGAAACACTGGAAACAAACAAACAAACAAAAAGGAACCATGAAAGTAACAGAAAGAGAAAATATTTGAACTGACCAGGGTTACTTCTGAGGAACTTTTATATTATTTGAAATTACTAGCTGCAAAGGATCAATCAAAGCTAAATCATAGAAAAGAAAGAAGAGCAGGTAGGAATTGTTGAGAATCCATAAAGGCAAACGTGTGACAAAACGCCAAATGAAATCGGTAAGAACCAGCTTCTTTGTAGTGGATTCTTTTTTGCTAAATTAAGCACAGCAGGTTGCATAAGACCCAAGAGTGTAATCTACTCCCTGCAGTTAAAGGAGCAGTTACAACATGTTGAAAGTTAATATAGTTTACCAGTGTAGAAAGCAAGACAACAAGTCGGTTCCAGGGAACATTTCTTGGCCCTTAAATCTCAGAGCAATATTGGGTCAAAAGCTGGAGGTACACTGAGAAAATAGAAGACCCAAGATAACTCCTTTTGGTGGTCCCTGAGACAAGCTATCACATCTGCTGCAAAAATCCAGATGCCCGCTAGATGCCAATAAAGCTAAGAGATTTCTGCACCTCTCTGTTTACATACCTAGTGATCAGCTGCTTTTCTACAGCCCAGATCAGCTCCCTTTGTAGATTCTTCCCCAAATACAAAGTGTAAGATGGGCTTCATGCTGCTTAAGCACAACAAGGAAAATTCATGGAAAGAGGAAAACTTGCCCAGGCAAACATCAGTGACATGGGCCCTTCCTCTTTACGCCCTTGGATCCTTTTCTAGAGCCATGTTTCTCAACCTGGGAAACTTGAAGACGAGTGGATTTCAAATCCCTGAATTCCCCAGCAAGCAAGAGGTTCTCCAGCCAGCCCCAGATGGAAAAACCCTGCTTCCGAACCAGAAATCAGAACGTAATTCTCAGATGGAAGTCTCACGCTAGGGGCAGCAGGCTGGCTGAGCGGACTTCAACTCCCTCAGTTCCCCAACCATAATTCTGGATACAAGTAGTCCTTGACTTAAAACCACCACAACAGAGCCCAACATTTCTGTTGTTATGTGAGACATTTGCTAAGTGAGTTTTGCCCCCGTTGTACGACCTTTTCTGGCCACCGTTTGTGAAGTGAATCACTGCAGCTGTTAAGTTAGTAACCCGGTGGTTAAGTGAATCTGGCTTGCCAGAAGGTCTCAAATGGGGATCCCATTGGTACACAGCAACGGTCATACTGTAAATATGAACCGGTTGCCCAACATCTGAATTTTGATCACATGACCGTGGGGATGCTACAAAGGTCGTCACTGTGAAAAACGGTTGTAAGTCACGTTTTTCAGGTCTGTTATAACTTTGAACGGTCACTAAATGAAATGTTGTAAGTCGACTACTTGTATTGAAGTCTACACACTTTCAAGTTGCCCAGCTTGAAAAGCCCTGCTTTTAGAGATCAGGATCCATTTCAAGAGGTAGAAGAGAACTTAACTCTCACGTGGAAGAGGAGCCCCTCCTGAAGGAAAAGAGGAGAACAAAGTAAGCTAGATCAGGGGTCCCCAACCCCCCCCCCCCCGGCCATGGCATGCCAGCAACCAGGCCATGCAAACAAGCAAAGCCCCATTTGCTGGATGCAGGCAGCATGCAAAAGCACACACTCTCCGGTCCGTGGAAAACCCTCTCTCCACGTAACTGGTCCCTGGTACCCAAAAGGTTGGGGATTTCTGGGCTAGATAGTGGCCTGTGAAGTAGTAGGGTTGGTGTGTGGGGGGAAACATTACAGGTAGTCCTCAACTTAGAACAGTTCATTCAGTGACTACTCAAAGTCACAACAGGAGTGAAAATAGGGACTTATGATCATTTTTCACACGACCGTAGGAGCACTCCATGGTCACGTGATCAAAATTCAGACGCTTGGCAACTGACTCATTGTTATGATGGTTACAGCGTCCTGGAGTTCTGTGATCCATTTTTGCGACCTTCTGACAAGCAAAGTCAATGGGGAAGCCAGATTCATTTAACAACCAGGTTACTAACTTAACAACTGCAGGGATTCACTTAACAACTGTGGCAAGAAAGATCGTAAAATGGGGCAAAACTCACTTAAAAATGTCTCACTTAGCAACCTAAATTTTGGGCTCCATTGTGGTCGTAAGTCGAAGACTATCTGTATTATAATCAGCACTGAAAACTGGATAGTGCCTGCATGCAAGATTTGGGATAGAGAGCAATGCTGCAAAGAATATTGGAAACCGTATGGGTTTTGTGTCCAAAGGCACCGGGTGCCAAGGCAATAATCTGATTGGCAAAACAGAGAACAAAGATCTCCTTGGAAAACCTCCATTTCTAGCTCATTATGACAGCGTTATTGTGAAAGAGAAAC